AGGTGATCACATGGTCCTGGGACATAGCAACCGTCATAAATATGAACCAGTTGCTAAGCATCCTAATTTTGATCATGTGATGTTGCAATGGTCGTAAGTATGGAAAATGGTCATAAGTCACTTTTTTCTGTGCCTTTGTAACTTTGAACAGTCACTAAATGAACTGTTGTAAGTCGAGAACTACCTGTATTACAGTTTAGGATGACTGTCTCTATTTCAGTTCTGTCATGAAGTGACAATTATTCTTCTACACTCAACGGATAGATATGCCTAGCTTTATTAACAGTCCAGTCTGCTACAAGTACATCTCCGTCCTTCTCATCACATCATCTTTCATGCTAATTTGGAGAGATTAGACTAGTGCTTCTCAACCATGGCAACTTCAGTTCATGTTGATGGGGGAATTCTGGGAGTTGAAGTCCACACATTTTAAAGTTGCTGAGGTAGATAGAACACATGACTTTCGCGGAGGCATTTACTTGCATAATATCCAGTGCTTTCCAAAACACAGTTTTAAGTGTTCTTTTTGGGGGGAAAACAAGATATTTGATTTTTTAGATATGTTTTTAGTGCTGTCTTAAAAGAATTTTGGATCTGTGTTTCAAACAACAGCAATTGAAAATTGATTGAAAGCAGGAAAAAGCCAGCTTCTGCCAGCTTCTAAGAGAAATGAAAGGTTGATAATAGTTTGACATAATAATACTGTATTTCAGTAAAAAAAAAGGTTATTAAACTAAACAGCCATTCTGTCATCAAGTGCAGAAGAATTTTGTTGGTGTATTTTTTAAAAAAGAGAAGCAAATTACCTTGACCTAAACTATCTGTTTACACTGTTAAACAATTAATATTTAACATAATGATCAAGTTAATACATTCTCCTCACATTAAATATATTGCAGTATTAGGTAAACAGATCAGTGCTCGGCAGAGTAGAAAGGCATAAATTGAGTAAATAAAATATAAAAGAGAGTTGCTTTGTGGGGGAAACAGAAGGAAGAAGTTGTAGTAGGTATGTTTGCCACCTTGAGTTATTTATAAAACAATAAAGGTGGGATAAAAATACCTTTGAAAAGTGTTTTATATTTGTTCTTTTGGGTAGATGTAATAATATCTGAAAGTATACCTTCATACTACACATAGAACAAATTATGGTATTTTTGTCCAAATTAACTGTTACCAAGCCATCTATAGATACCGTAATATGTTGATAATATATGTAATATATGTAAACAAATGAAAGTACTGGGTAAATACTTAGAATTAGACTGTAAACCTATAGTGTTTTAGTTCTAGTGTCAGTATTAAAGGTTCGGTCTGTTACTAAATGAGAATAGAATACATCATATGTTCTTTCTTTATATTAACAGTCGGAACGTTCAATCAGGTCTGTTCAGGTCGTGGTAGAGATAGAAATAACATTCCAATGTAATTGTTCATCTATACTAGTCTAAAACTACATCTCCCTCACCTAACCTTTACAGTCTAGAAACTATGAAGGGTCCCTTCTTAGATGTTTGCCATGCTTCATTTGTTCTGCGGGCTTAGCTGTCTCTTATCTGACTGTTGCATAATCTGAGGCTCTTCTGTCTCCCAAAATCATTCTCATATCCCATTACAATAATGGTATTCCAAATTTTTCAGTTTTATATATAGACATGTATTCTAGCTGGCAACATTAAGTTTGAATGCAGTGGTTTGTAAACTCAGTAGGAATGAGCTACACAGAGGGGAATATGTCAATGAACATACACAGAGTGGAACTTATTCTTGGATAGATAATTTTAAATATGTATAGAACTACTACTACTCTAGTGAAGAGTTGCCATACTTTGAAAATATCTTATTTAAGAGATTTGTCAATTGTCATTTTGTTTTGAACAATTGTCACAAATTGCTAGAAAGTGTTAACAAAGTATTCATTATTGCAACCTATTGAACTGGAAGCGGGAAGCAATTTTTAGTCTCATCTGGACAGGTTTAAAACCCCATTTCTTAAGTCATACACTCTCACTTCCAGCTATTGTAATTTCACAGTACAAATAGTCCTCACTTATCAACCACTCATTCAGTAACCATTTACAGTTTTTACAGTGCTGAAAAATAATTTTACAACCAAATCACAACCTTCATAGCATCCCTTATTCACACGATCATCATTATAGCCAGTACACATTGCATTGTGCCTGACTTGTGAGTGGTTTTTTTTCCTTTTTCACCTTGATCTGGCATATTGCTGTTATTTCAGTGATTCTTTCAAAGTGTCCCTGTAAATAAGGTCATAGGTTTCTAGTTTATAGATATTACTAGAAAATACTTGATTATTTATATGTTCCCATAATCACCCAGGATGCATGATAATTAATATGTGGGTAGGTCTTTGTGTGTGTATATGTAGTCAAAAAAAGTGTACTTCTGTTTTATTTTTCCTCTGAATTATTTTGATGTTTATACTTTTGTTTCTCCATTAAAAAGAGACAGCATGGCATAAATTTCATAATAAGTAAATAACACAATAGATGAATTGCTGAGTTGTAATTTTTGTGGGGGTTATTTTGCTTAATCTGTACATTTGGACAGATTTTACACGTTACCTCAAATTATCTTCTGTCACAAGAAAATATTCATGATTTATATTAGTAATATGTGGTCAAGCTGTCTTAGCCTAAGATAGAGATTGCTCTATTTGAGGTTTGCAGACCCACACATGAAGATACAATTGCTAAGACTTTAAGCAGATAACAGTAGACAAGATTGCAAATCAAGATCTGTGCAAAGAGAGCTTGCTTGAAGAATAATAATAATAATAATAATAATAATAATAATAATAATAATAATAATAATAATAGTAATAATAGTAGTAGTAGTAGTAGTAGTAGTAGTAGTAGTAGTAGTAGTAATTAAAAAAAGTTGGAAGGGACCTTGGAGGTCATTGAGTCCAACCCCCCTGCTCAGGCAGGAAACCCTAAGTCAGCTTGAATTTAATTAGTAGTAGAGTGGTCCAAATTTGTTCCAGGAGTTAAAGTGCTAAGTCACATAGTGATCAGTCCAATAGTTCAGATTAAAGTAAGCCAAGTTAGTAAACAGAAGAACAAGCATCACAAACTAGGAATCCAAACAGGTTTTTTTTCCTACAAAGACTAAAGGCAAAGCAGCTACATAAATCTGTCTGCAGGTACTTGGCTGCGATTACTCATTTCTCACCATTTGTCTAATGAGGAGCCTCACTGAGGAACATTGCTCTGCTTCCTGCTAGATCAGTGGTTCTCAACCTGTGGGTCGGGACCCCATTTGGGGTCGATCGACCATTTCACGGGGGTCGCCAAGCAAGGCTGTCCGCCATTTTTTTGTCCGCCATTTTTTTTGTCCGCCATTTTTTCCCCCTTTTCCGGCGGGTGCCTTTTTTCCCCCTTTCCCCCTTGGGCTGGGCCAGCTGGTGGTCGGCCTGCTCTGTCTCTGCCATTTGCCAGCTATGCCTTGGCCGGCGCAGGGGGCGGAACCATGCATGCGCGGCACTCCTGGGCAGGGAAAGTCCTCGACTTACGACCGGTTGGGTAGTCCTCGACTTATGACCGGTTTAGTCCTCGACTTATGACCAGTTTAGTCCTCGACTTACGACTGGTTGGGGTCGCGGCATTAAAAAGGTTGAGAACCACTGTGCTAGATGCATCTTGTAATGGGGGTTGGTGGAGGTGGGGGCTAGGAATTGTGCCTCATCTGACTGCTCCAGTTGATCAGGAGATGCCTGGGGCTGCTTAGTCTCAAATGAATCCTGGATTAATGATTTCTGAAGCTGCCAATCCACAGGTTCAGCTGGAGCAACATTGTCAGACTCAGATTCTGAATTGTGGCTCATAAACAGAGATAGTTCATAGGACTTAAACCTAGGATATCTAGCTGGTTTTGACATTTTGACCTTCAAAATAACCTGCAGAAATGGGTTATTTGAGGGACTGCCGCTCTCTGATTACACTTCTCCACCCTACCAGATCCAGTACAGAGGGCATGTTGCAGGTTCTGTCATATAGAGTGTTACATTTGGTGGACCCACAGCAGCAGGCCTTGGCTGTGGCACCCATGTTGTTGAATGTCTTCTTGAGGCTAGGCTGCCATCATCGCTCTTGACTTTCCAAAAGTCTCTCAAGACCTGGTTGTGCCATTGGGCCTAGGAACCCCAGGGAACTGGCAAACTAGTAAGATGGCTTGGTTATTATTAAGCCCCCTTTGCTGATTATTTTTTTAGCTGCATTTTATATTTTTAAATGTTTTTAATCTTCATAAATATTGTTATTTATGAATGGTTGTTTTTTTTTAACTTTGTAGAACACATGTTTGTAAGATGGGCAGCTATATAAACTTGAAAAATAAATAAAGTAAATAAAATTGGCTACATAAAGGAAAATAACATTTGATGTAAAATGCTTTTATAAAAACAACAAACAACTGTAACACCTTTATATCTGAAAAAGCTTTGGAGGATTGAAGCTTTCTTATGTAAGGATTGTGTTACCCTTCTTTTTCTTTTCTTTTTTTCCTTTTCTTTTGAAAATAATTTCAAGCCTTTTTAAACAGCTGTTCTTTTAAGATTTCCTTAATGCAACTTCAGAAAATGAACAATACATCCTTACTTCCTGCTCTGAACATCCAAACGGATATTTATGACTAAATATTTCTATGAAAAATAATATTTAAAATGAGTTATCCCATTTCTAGATATGATGATTCAATTTTAGTAGTTAATTATGATCAGGTAAATAAATATTCATTAAAATGACTTTTTTTTCTTTCAGGTTTCCAGGGTTGTGTTTTAATAAGTACAATTCTCATGGCTATGGGGTTAAATTTTCTCACCATATATCAGTCTAGCCAAATAGCAATTAATGATAAGCGAAAAAATTAAATATTCAGTTTCTTTCACATTAAAACTGACACTGACTTATTTGACAATACTATCATTAACTGCTTAAGGATAACAACATCTGTATCTTTCTTGTGTTTTTTAGGACATTTGGGCTTCCAAGACAGTTTTGTCACATCAGGTGTTTTCAGTGTCACTGAGCTAGTAAGAGTCTCTCAAAGTAAGTACAATAATTATGCTACTTATTTCCTTACTGTTTTCTTTGATTAATCCACCTCATATAATCATTATATAAAAATGAAGCTATTAGTTACATATTAAAAGATCCAATTTTACAAAAAAAAATTACCTTGCAAGTTTTATCTTACTGGAAAATGAAATATGTTTCTAGTGTGGCAGGTGTCAAAGATTCAGTTGATTAGGCAGTTCTAGTATTAACACCAGGTTTTTGGCAGATCATTAGAAACTAGTGCTCTGGGAAGAGTCATATCATTGTATTATTTGTATTTGATCGCCAGAACAAGAATATCTTAGGACCTATTGTGTCTCAAAACAAGATGTGGATGATTTGCTATTTGTGGTAGTAGTTTCATAAAGAGGCAGCCTACCCCCTAATCTAAACCATTTCAGTGGCAGTTTATTTGCTTTCAAAATTAGAACACTGATATTTATTGAACTGGCTAGATAAATCTCTTTACACATACAATAGCACAAAGACTGCATGTCTATTGTCTATGAGCATGGAATTTCAGCAGCTACCTTATACATTGATTTATAGAGACACAGATTTTAGGAACCTTAAGGGTAGGTTTCTACCCTAATGTAAAATCATACTCCTTTGTAAAATAGAAGCTCCAATTTTTCTGTACTCTAAATATGACTAAAATTTAGGGTTTCTGACAACTAACCCATACACAACTCAGTCTTTTTTTTTTTAGCCATTCTTTTGACCTTTACAGAATGCTAATGTCATTGGTCTGAATGGCATGCTGCAGTATGATCATTACCAGTTTGTCAATAATCACTAACAACAGTGAATGAGGAGTACCTGTCACCACCCCATTCTATTGATCAAAGGTTTCTTGATTGTATTTTACTATGACACAATCTAGAGTCCAAGGAGACAAGGAGAGTGTTTTTGCTCTGCTCGTTGACAAGTGTGCTAGGGCTTAACAATTTAAAGTTATGAAGATTTTCAGCTTTAGTAAAGCCCCAAGTCAAAAATTTTATCCTGTAATTATTGCTATCTTTATATTTGTAGTTTAATAGTAATTTTATTAAAAATTACAATTACAATGATAAAAATTAATACAAGTTAAAAATAAATAAAAATATATTATGCAGAAAAGAAAAAAATCAAAAAGAAAAAAATAAGACTATTGTGAAGAAAATTAAATGTATAAAGAAATTACTTCACCATTCATCATAACAATTTTAATAACTTATCGTCTCTTAAAATATAGCAAATGATCTCTTCTTCCCATATCTCATCTCTTATCTATGAACAAATCCTTAAAATCTTGTCATTCAGTCTTGTTCAGAGATAACAACATACCTATATTAAATTGATCAAATAAACCAACCTTATATTTCTTCCTTTTACTTCTATCTTGATTAGTTCTTGTCATTTAAGTCCCTTTTCAGAGATAACAACATACCTACTGTATATTAAATTGATCAAATAAACCAACCTTATATTTCTTCCTTTTACTTCTATCTTGATTAGTTCCTTCAAATAATGTCCTAGAACTTTTAATTGTTTTCTCGGTCTCTTCTCACAATACTCTTTAAAGAACTTTAACAAGCTTCATTTGTACATCCAATATATGAAAATTATCCAGGCCACTCTCCTAGTTTGATATTTGTATATTCCTTTTTATTATTAAGATGTCATTATATATACAGGATCAGAAAAAGGAAAGGAGGCAAGGTTATTGTGCAGGAATACAAGCTAATTTGAGGGCTAATCCACATGGAACTCCATTTCCATCTGTCCTGTTTGCCATCATTCGCTCCCTAGAGACTAAAATGGACAATCTGAAACTTGAGCTGGCCACGAACAAGAAGTGTATATTGGAGGTGGCGACCCTTTGAGAGCTGTATGCAATGAAATTTCATTTTGATGTATGCCAATTGGTGAACATTCAAAGTGACAATAAAGTTGTTGTTGTTGTTGTTGTTGTTATTATTATTATTATTATTATATATGTTAATATTCAAACAAAAGCATTATTCCAGTAAAATGATTCTTTATAATTAATTCCAAAACATTATTTTAAATTTATCTGGACTCTTAGTCTGTTTGTTACTTTCTAAAATCAAAGTTTCAATCATTCTTTTACTGTTAATTAAGTCCTTAAGCTTGTATTTAAAATTACTTTTGCTAAGGTTTGAAGGAAACTCTGTGCTATAACTCTTGTCAGTCCCAAGATTCCTAACAGCTGAAAAAGCAATCAACAAGCAATTTCCAGAATTGATTAGCAAATGTGAATCTAGTGTCATTTCAAAGGCACAGATTGCAGTTTGAGCAAGATGGCTATTCTCACATCTCTCGACGCATTAAACCTGTTGGAGACTGCTGTCTGGCAGTCTCATTACAAGGAGCAACTGTCTGGAGCACTGGTGGGTGATCTCAAGCCCGCTCCCTGTCCAGAGAGGAAATATTAAAGAGCAGTCTACTCATTCCACCGCAGTCATCAGCTCTGCTTTTCATGGAGCTGTCTTCAGTCCACTCTTTCTTCCCTGGAAGTTTTTCCTTATATTTTGTAGTTTTAATTGCAGCAGATTTAGCAGCTAGTACCCTTAGAAATACATCCCCATTCACTTCAGTAGAAAGCATTTACCTGCTTGGAGGCTATGCTTATCAGCAATTTTCCATTTAAACTGTATAGAGATCTCTTGGTGTGTATGAGTTCTGAATCCCACTTTCAGGAAATATCCAAAGCAATGAAATATTCGTAAAGTATTGGCCGAGGATTTCTCCCTAAGGCAGGCATCATTTGAAGAAACGTGATTGTTTTTGGCTGCTGCTGATTTGAAATATATCCTCAATATTTTAGATTGCAACCCAGTTCCATTAAAATAATAAATCAAAACCTACAAAGGTTAGATAAACTTACAACATGTGGAAAATAACAATCTGCTGTTGCCATCAGGTATGTTGGACAGTCTTTGCAATAGTGGACTAGAATAAAATCCTTAGATTGGCATAAGGTGGCACCCTAGTATTTGGGACTTGCAATAATTCTCCTGTTGCATAGCATGAATCACTGTTGCTTAAAAGCAATAAAGGCAATAGCGATTGCTCGTGTATAGCATGCCTCCCCAAAATCACCTTGGGAGGTGAAACATCCTCGTTATGACTTGAAAACGTTTGTAAGGCAAAGCAGCAGCATTTCTCACTGGCAATTTAGTATTGTAGCACGAATGCAGAAGGTTTAAAATAAGAGTAAGAGGAGAATGAAATTGGCAGGCAATCTCAGAGAACACGATGTGCAGCCATTGATCTACCCTTACTACAGATAGTCCATGACTTACAACCACAATTAAGCCCCAAATTTCTGATGCTAAGCGAGACATTTGCTATAAGTGAGTTTTGCTCCATTTTTCAAACTTTCTGGATACCAATTATTATTATTATTAATTATTATTATTATTAATTTAATTTCTATACCGCCCTTCTCCCGCAGGACTCAGGGCGGTGCACAGCATATTAAAACAGATACACATATCAATAAAAATAAAAAATAAAAATAAAAACCCCTCTAAAACCAAATTAAAAACCAAATATTCGAAGCTGTGTTCCAATTAAAATTATACTTAAAATCGTCCCTAAATAAAANCGGATCTCGGGGGGTAGTTCGTTCCAGAGGGTGGGGGCACCCACAGAGAAGGCCCTCCCCCTGGGGGTCACCAGCCGACACTGTTTGGCCGACGGCACCCTGAGGAGACCCACTCTGTGGGAGCGTACCGGTCTATGGGAGGAAATCTGAGGCAGAAGGCGGTCTCGGAGGTAACCAGGTCCGATGCCAATGTTAAGTGAATCACTTCAGTTGTTAAATTAGTAATATCATTGTTCAGAGAATCCGGCTTTCTCCAATCATGATGACCGTAGCATCCACCAATGGGTTATCATAGCCTTCCTGCTCAGTTGAGACTAAGCAAAACTTTAGCCACGCCTCCTCTGGGCGGTTCCTCCCCAGTTCTTGCTTAGTCTCAGCTCAGTTAGAACGCAAGTATATGACTGCACATGTCATATATATGAGTCAGTTGCCAAGCGTCCAAATTTTGATCACGTGACCCCTGGGGATGCTGCAATGGGCGTAAGTGTGAAAAATGGTCATAAGTTACTTTTTCAGTGCCATTGTAACTTTGAACAGTCACTGAATGAACTCTTATAAGTTGAGAACTACCAGTATTTTGAACTAGGCTACCCCTACTGGTCCCATTAGAAATCCGTCTATAATATAATGAAAATGGCATTTCTGCATGATTTTTCCACTGGGCAGTTGCATATTACAAGTTGACTGTCATACCTTCCCCAAAATATCAGTCATTTAAACTAACTGATTAGACTATAGATTGGGCAGAGAATCTGCATAGACAAACCATTAGTAATTTATTGGTTCACCTCTACGTACAAATATAGATGGTCCTTGACTTATGACTCCAATTTCCATTGCTAAACAAGACAGTTAAGTGAGTTTTACTCCATTTTGCTACCTTTCTTGCCACAGTTGTTACGTGAATCACCCCAGTTGTTAAGTTAGTAACCTGGTTGTTAAGTGAATCTGTCTTCTCCATTGATTTTGCTTGTGAAAAGATTGCAAAAGGTGATCACATGACCCCGGGACACTGCAAACATCAATTGCCAAGCTTCTGGGTTTTGATCATGTGACATGCAGTGATTGTAAAGGTGAAAATGGTCATAAGTCACGTTTTTCAGTGCTGTTGTAACTTAGAACGGTCACTAAATGAAGGGTTGTAAGTTGAGAACTACCTGTAAAAATGCTGTATAAAAGAATGTGATAGTTGTGGGAACAGGAGGTTGGTGCTCTCACAAGAGCCCCTGCAAAGCAGGGAGTATCCCAAGCAGCCTCTCGGTCACTCAGTGGATGTTTTTGTATCCTTCTGCTTCAACCAGAAACAGCATATGTGTTTTTGCATTGTTTCCTTTGACTGTGTTTTGGAGAGCCACCTTCCCACCAGCTCTCTGGTCTG